ATAAAATAAATAAAATAAATAAAATAAATAAAATAAATAAAATAAATAAAATAAATAAAATAAATAAAATAAATAAAATAAATAAAATAAATAAATAAAATAAATAGAATACTATAGATACTCTATATACTTGGAGTAGATAAGATAGACTAAGTAGACTAGATATTCTAAATCTATACCATAATATATAAATGTAAAAAAGGTCTAAAAAGTTTTTTTAAAAAAGAGATATTATTTATAATTATATAAAATCTACCTAAACAAGTAAATTTAATATATTTAATACTATTATATAGAAATCTTTTTTAAAAAAAACTAGATTTGTAATAACTGTAGTATTATATTATCTACAGGATATATAAATGAAATAAATTTGATAAATAAAATAAACCTGCTGCTGGCTGGCTTCCTGGCTTCCTGGTCCTTCTATATAATATATAAAATATATATAACATATTATAATTAATTTTTTTGAATAAACATTTTTAATTTATTTTTAAATTTCAGATATCCTTCGTTTAATATTTAGGTATTAATAATGCCATATTATTAATAAATTCTTTATTATATATTACTCTAAATTCAATAATTAAATAAAATAAATTAATTTTATATATTAAAGTATTCTATATATATATATTTTTTATAGAAGAATTGAAACTGATAATTCTTGTTAACTAAATTTATATTAAATATAATTTATTTATAATTATTTTATTTTATTTAATTAATTATAGAATTAATCTTCTGTACAATTTCAATAAGTTTTGGTTTTAAATAAATACACTATTTAGAATATCAAGTAATTTATTATAAAAATAAAAGTTATCATTAATTCTAGTAGAATAAAGATAATTATAACATAAATTAGATATATAAAATAAATCAACCAGAAATATAGATTTATAAAAAAAATAAGAAAGAACTAAGAAATATAACTAAATATATTTTAAATTAAAATACTAAACTTAATAAAAAACTTGATTAGAATATACTAAAATTATATAAAAGTTTATGAAATATAATAATTTTTAACTAAAATTATATAATAAAATAAACCAAATAGCTAGATATAATAATTAAACCAATTTATTATCTTATTAATATTTACTATTTTATTAAATTTTTATTATTATTATTTTAATAAAGTCTAGTTTACTTATTTTACTTATTTTAATTATTTTAATTATTTTAATTATTTTAATTATTTTAATTATTTTAATTATTTTAATTATTTTAATTATTTTAATTATTTTGAATATTTTAGTAATTCTAGTAGTTTATTCTTTATTTAATCTATTAAGTAGTATGTTATATATAAACTTAAGAATAGCTTAATCTAAGTAGTTATCTTAGATATCCTACAATATCCTATAAAACCCAGCCATTACCCTGACGGAATACCCATATCCTTACTATAAATAAATTATAACATCAATAACCTTAAGAGAATTTATATATTAAGTCAAAAAAGATTACTAAGATAAAGAAGTTTCTAAAAATAATCAAGACATTCTTCTAGGTTGAAGATAGTCTATAGAGTAGTCTAAAAACAGGAGGCAGAATCTATAGTAACACTGAAGTGCTCTAATACTCTAAAGAACTAGTATAATAATTAGTTAAAAAAGATTCTATTGATAAAAAGATAATTTCTTACTGTGAGTTGTATATATCCCTTTAGTAGTTATATTAGTCTCAGATTCTGCTTAATTAGTAAAAGTAAATTGCTATTTTAGTGCTGCATTACTTATTAGGATAATCTGAGTCTACTATCTTATGACAGTACATATAGTAACTTCAATCTAGACACAACTCCTAACTAATATGCATATCAATAGAGAAACATCTCAGTGAGCTTTGATCTTAATAACATTATACTAGATCAGCAAGTGATAAGGTGGCTATAATAAGTCCCCATTCACTGTCAGCGGCAGAAGCCGGTAAGCCATCCGGTACCGGAATATTCCATATTCCGGCCCGTCTGGATCCTTTGTCTGCGTGGGAAGATTCCGAGGAAAATCACCAGTAAGAGTCCTTTGACCAAGGCTCCAAGTAAAGATATAGATTGAGGTCTGGCGACCTCAATATCAGATAGTTCTCTAAGCAATTTGACTTCCGTCAACACTAGTTCTTATTCTAGTAAACCAAGGCTATCTAGCCCTTCGAATTCACTACTGTACATGGCACATGCAATTTAACATTCTAACATATCACTTGTACCAAATCAGCAGCATGAGGACTCAAAAGTACATAAATATTCAAGCATCAAGCATTTATGCCTTGTCGCCGAGTCTTGAAATTGCTTTGAACTAAATACTGCTCAAGTCTGTAGGTGAAGACTCTCGAGCGGGAACATGTTTGTCACTCAGATTCACAGCAATAAACGTCTTCGGCAAGCTGACACTGAAGCACTGTCGTCAGTGTCATGACATCGCAAAGTAGATAGGAAGACTTACGTATCAAACTTCGCCTTTAATGTTTCAATGACCTCTTTCCAATCCTGGTGAGGTGTCAGGCTTCTTCTAGGAGCACAGCCAATAGCATGTCTAGAATCAAGTTGTACGTCCAGTGGGTCAAAAGCATGACATCCAGGGCTGATAGATATGCGGATAGAGTAGGAGTTAGTTGACGATTCGCAGTCCTTAGCTTCATAAAGTTCGAAGCAGATCTGAGAAAGATAGTCCAGCTCGGGTATAGCTGTCCTGGCTATCTTGGTTTGAATCCCTCCTTCCAAGATACAGTTCAGCAGTGTGTAGATATGAGACTCCTTGGTAAAGTAGAAGAAAGATTTGGCATCAGAGGATGCCTGAACCTCTTCTAGATCTCGCACAATTCCCTGTAAGAGCGGCAATGATGTGAGCAAGCCGATTTCAAGCTTTTCCGTATCCGTGATCCCATATTCCTGTGGAGTCACATAGTCAAAAAGAACCTTGGCGAGCTTGTATAGTTCTCTCAGCTTCGAAAGTCTTCCATCCATTTTAGACTTCGAAGGGCTGGAGCCAGGATACAATTTGAAGTAATGATCGTACGTGTCATCGAGTCCTCTAAAGTGCGGCATTGATTCGAAGGCGCATTCGAAGGCGCGCATTCGCTTTTTCCACCCGAAGCGATGAGCAAAAGATGAGGAATCGGCCAGTTCGTCATTTTTCTCGAATGCACAGTCGTTGTTTGGTTTGGAATCTCCGATCAGGTCATCTCGTGTGACCTTCTTCCAGCTGTGAACACTTCTCTCGTCCTCACTGTCATCACTATCGGGAGGCATGAACACCCATTCCAAAAATTGTCGATTGTGCAGGGCATCGAATTTCATGCTATCATAGAGCTCAGAAAGCTTGCTGGGGTCGACCTTCTCTGTATCGCAGAACTCGGCGAACAGTTTTTCCCACCTTTCCTTGAAGAGCATTGGGTCTTCTCCCGTACACCATCGTCCTTGAATGGAAGCCAAGGCAGGGTTTTCGTAATGGGCAGCTGGTCTGCAGGAGCGGTCAATGTCATGATGACCAGGGGAGGCTGATGTCGACGAATTCGGTGACAAGTTTTGAATCATCCGAAAATTATGCCTCATAACATCTCGATGGTATTTCATCAACTCGACAACAGTTGCTAGAACCACTGATGGCTCCGGGATATTGTCTTTGGGCCAAGTAAATTGGGAGGGCGCCGATCCTTCGCGCAAAAGGAGTTTAAGTTTTTTCTTGACCTTGTCCATGAGATCTTTCGCGGCGTTGGAGTCATCTAGAAGGTCCTTTCGTACTTGTATGAAATTTTCGGGTAGTTCTTTCTGATCGAGGAAAGCGGAGGCCCAAATTTGAGCTAGAATAGCAGGTTAGATTCGGTTCGATCATCAGAATTAGATGGATGAGACGCCTACATACCACTAGTGCTCACTCTTCTCTCGGAACTGGTGAAAATCCGGACATTGTTCAGTGCCTCTTTGTTCATTAATTTCAGATCATCACGCATGTTGAGCCCCAGATCTTGAGATTGATAGCGTGCAGCATGTGTCGGTTCGCCTCCCCACTTGATGACGAGCTGAAGTTTATCCAAAACAAGATCATTTTCTGCGGCAGAAAACCTTGAGAAGGTGGCGCCGGAGATAGAATCACTTCGCGTTTGGGGGCGGCCAGTTCTTTCTTCAGCCTGAGTCGGACCGTGGCAACTGGCCTGGGAGGCTTCGTCTTGAGACTTCCTAGCAGACGATGTCATGGATAGATCAGATGGGGACTGTCCTCTCAACTCTTCGGGCTTTCTTTTACGAAACATTGGCTTGATTTGAACCTTCGTTCCTGGCCAACCGCCCTTCTTTTCCAACGATGTTCGAAGCAGTTTCAGCTTATCCGAGTCTTCAAGCCCCTCTTTCAGAGCGACTCTCACGGCTTCTGAAACACGAGCTAAGGCTGCCTCGCCTTTTATGACCACCTCTTCTTGATGGCCCTTAAGCAAGTCGATGAAAGGCTGACTGTGAAAAGTGAATTTGAATTTCTGCTTCGGTGTGCGATCAGCGTGTCTAATGACCGCGACCATGCCCTTCAGTTTCCAGGAATGCTTGGAAGCGGGAGGTGGAGGAGGACAGCCATCGACGGAAGAATCCACCGATACTATAGAAGATTTCAAGGTCTGCGGGTCATAGGCCTTTATCGTTGTATTTTTCTCCTTCGCGGCAGGGCTTTTGTGGGAGTTTCCATTGTCCAGGCTCTCGCCCGATGGTGATGTGATCGGTCGGTTTACGATCGACTCCGACGAGCCCGTTTCGGAGCTGTTGAGGCTTTGTTGAGGTCCCTGAAGCTTAGATGAGCTTGGGGATTTCAGTAAAGTCTTCAACGTATTCTTGTGCGATAGAGAATGCCTCCAGCTGTGACCAGATTCCTGAGGCAGGGAATCAGAAGGCTCCGATACTCCTTCACATCGGCGCTTCTCATTCAGGAAAGTTTCTCTTAAGATGCTGGCGCATTTGTCGTAATAGTCGTTATTATCTTTGACAAAACTCCAGCCATTCACATCAATCACATAGCTTTTCTCGCCAACACGGAGCATGTCAAAACCGCAGATCCTCTGGCCGAATCCATTAGATATCTTCGATGCGATGGATGCTTCTTCCTTGCTCAGCTTTGTAATGTATCGGATTTCTTTTCCATGCGTGTTGCGACGAACAAGCCCGTCAACCACAGGAGACTTCCGGGTTTCTGCATGACAGAAATCGGGTCCAACCGTATAGGCCTTGACATCCTCGGAATTATCAACCCTCAGAAATTGCTCGTATATGTAGCTAGTGTCGTCTTCCGTGATCGACCTAGGAACAATAAGGTTGGGATCATATTCAGAGCTTTTGTTTCCAACTTTGCGGAAGAGTCTCCTGCCACCACCTCCATATTGTTGGTCGTTTGGAAAGTATATGTGAATATTGTGGTCTTCACCATTTACTGGCTTCTCAACGAACGGTTTCTTGAGGACTTTGCCGTCGACGATCAGAGAATCACCATCTTCAGACATTGTCACGTTCATCGATCGGGAAGCCCCTCCTCCAGTGCCGTCGCTGGGGCCTTCCAGTTTGACCCCGGTCATCCTATATACATGCTGGGCGAGTTCAGCGGATTCCAGTATGGGTCCACCATCTCGGTTGACCTCCATCCGCTTGGGGGAGGGTACACCCATGTGATCTAGTATTCTGAGACATAAGCGCCGGTCCCATAGTACCTTTTGCATAGGCAGATCATTGACACAGAAAGGTTTGCGAAGTCTTGCGTATGCAATAGCTTTGTCCAAAGGAAACCCGTCAGAGAAGAATGCTATTAGGTATTCGCATACTGGCCAATTCTCTACATCCTCGTCAAGAATAACCTTGTCACCGAAGACAATTACTTCGAAGCCACCCTTAGCTTGGAGTCGAGTCAGGATATTTTGACTGGGCTTGCTGCGAGCCTTGACATCCAGGGCACAAACACCGATTCTGCCTAATTTTGGTAATGAAGGTTCGATTTCGCCAACGGAGCTTGCGGCTGTGCTCACGCTGAATCTTCTAGGCACACCGCTTGAGGGGCGGATTCGATGATTTTCCTGGCCTATGCTTTGGGCATCCGAGACACGATCCGATTTGTGCAAGCTTGAATGGAGGGTTTGTGCACCACTAGAGTTGCCCTTTGTTGAGAAAGAGGTCGCGACGTCATGTATTGAAGCGTTTTTCTGCTCCTGGTTCGGGTTAACAACTGCAGGGGCCCCTAGGTTAAACGACTCCGCAGCAGTGCCGGCCGTTCTGGACCCAATGGGATCGGGTCTTTCGAACGGGAGGCCACTTGTTTGATCAGCGGATTCCATTGCTGAGGATGATACTGGTTTGATGTGTATGATGTGTATGGTAATCAATGTTGGCGCTGCTGTATTGGGCTTTGGGAAAGGAAATTTGATAGATGCACTGTCATGGGGCAAGCAAGATCAGTTAGTCGGCGAGCTAAGTAGTCCCACAGGTTTAAAGTTGCAGTTCCATTCATTGAGTACAGGTATTAAATGATTGGAAGGGCACTCATTGGCTTGACTTGGGCGGCAGCGGGCGGGCGGTAGATACTGAGACCTATGGGATGAACTGGAACAATAATTATTTATAATAGTATGATTGAATATCTTAAATATCTTAATATTGATATTCTCAGTTCATAGAGAAAGATTATCTATTATAAAAATAGAAAATTAACTCAAAATCAAAATTATAAAATATTAAAAATTTCTAATATTTAAAGATTAAAGATATAACTATTATAAATCTATTATCTACAAGAATGGGTAATTTTAATAGTATATAATACAAGTATCAACAGAAGTATTTTCAAAATTATCTTCTAAGATGATAGAAAGAATATCAATAATAATAATTCGTAAACTAGAATAATAGAATCTAAATAAAGTATATTATTAAATATATAATTAATATAAATAAACTATAAATTAGGATATTTATTTAAAATAATATTAGTTATAATCTATATAAATATATTAGTAGTACTTGTATAATCTACATAAATAATAAAAAATATTTCAATTTATAGAGTATCTATATAAGATATAATATTTTCAACTCAGTAAACTAATAGTTATATATAATAAAAATCAGAATCCTATTTACAGGAAACTAATTAGATATATATATATATATATATATATATATAGAAAGAGAGAGAGTTTAATATCTTTTTATATTTTAATTTATTCAAAATATAATATATTAGAATATTGGAATTATTATAGTAAAGATTAAAATTAATCATAAATAATATGTAAAATTATAATAAATAGTTTCTTTTAAATCTATATGATTTTTACTATAAATTTTGAAATATCTTATATTTTTTATTAATATAAGTAAGTATTATATATAATATGATCTAAATGATTATTAGAATTTTTAATAAAAAGTATTCTATAGTCCTATTGAATTTCGGATTTCTAAAAAAGAATAATATATAATAGTTTTTTATTTATTAATTTATATAATAATAAACATTAGGCTAGTAGTATTTTTTGAATTTGGATATATAAACTTTTCTAAGATATCTAAAAATAAATTCATTATGAATTAATTATATTAAATTAATCTTAATCTACTTATTATTAGGTATTTGTAACTAGTTTTTACAAAATAAGAAATTCTTCTCTTTATATAATATTAATGATATTTCTAGATAATAATTTTTGTTAATAACTAAGGTTTTTAGAATTTTGTGCAATTATTTCTTTTATTTTTATATAATATATAGATTAGTGTATATCTTTTAAAGTAAGTCAAGATTTTATATATGTTTAAAAATAATACTTTATTAATTTATAATAATTTGTATTAATGTTTTTTCAACATAAAAAAATCTATATTTAATTAATATAAGAGATTTTCAGTTTTTTAATTTTATAATTAAAATAATTTTTATTATTTATAGAAAATCCTTATAAATTCTCTGGTAAAAATAATTCTAGATCTATTTTCTCTAAAATAATCTAATTTTAGTATTACAAGTACTTATTTTTTAAAGAGAAGATTTTTTAATTTTTGAAATAGATTATTAAACTTGATTTTATATTTATTAAATTAATATATAATTTCAAAATCGAAATAGAATCAAAGTTCAGATTAATAAATATACTAATAATGCAGTAATTTAATAAATATAAAATATTTTAAATCTAGAATATTATTCTTTAAAGTAATAAATAATAATAAGAAATTTTTTATTATGTGTTTATATTTATTTTAATTAAGAAATACTTCTTAAAAATGTAAATAAAATAAGATATAATGTTATTTTATTTTTATATTAGAATGATACTTCACTAAATATATAATTAAAAATATTAATTTTTAGAATAATATGTTAAATCTGATTAAATAATTATAATACTAGTATTTTAATATAAATATTTTTTAAATTTAATAAAATAGAAAACAATTTTCTATTAAATATATAAATAAAATTATTAGTTTAAAAAAGTCCTCTATAAACTATTGGTAAAAATAATTAAAATCTAGAAATATTTATATATTAATTATATAAGTTAAATTTAACTACTTGATTATTTTTTTTTTAAATTTATCTAAAATGTATTATAGTCTATAATTAGATTTGAAAATTTGAATTTAGATATTATAAATTTATATTTTATATTTTAATATATAATCCACCCTCTTGTAATTTCAAAAAATTTAATAAATATAGTTAAAATATTATTAATATACATAATAAAAGATACTTAAATAATCTTTTAGAGTATTATTAATATAATATTAAATTATAATAGAAGTTTTAATATATTTAAATTATATTACTAGTATTTTATAAAATATTAGATAAAATTTAAAAATAATTAACTACTTTTGTTTTTTTTTAAATTTTAATATAACTAAAGATATTAAAAATATTATTTTAATAAAATATCTTTTTTTAGATTAATTAAGGTTTTTTTATAAGTAAAAATAAATATCAATTTCTAATAAAAATAATATTTAATATTCTGTATAGAAGTCGAAATTATTTCTAAATTTTTGATAAATAATATAATTAATATTACAGATAATAAATTAAAATAGATGAATCTTTTTTGAAATTATTTTATAATTATTTTTAAAAGACTTATAGCTTTTTTTAGAATATATTTTATATAAAATTAAATAAAAATAATTTTTTTCTAGAAGAATTTTATAATTATGATTTTAATCTAATAATAGTTTTCCAATTTTTCTTTAAAAGAATATTTATAAAACTTTTATATTTTTTAGATAATATAAATTCTTTGAATTCAATAATATTTTCTAGAATTCTATTAATTTAACTTATATTTATAATAAACATTAGATACTCTTAGTAAATATAAATAATATGAATTATTCATAAGATAAAATAAATATCTTTTTAAGACTTTCAATACAGTAATATTTTTAAAAATATTTTTTAAAAATATTATATAATATATATATCTTTAAGAATCACAAAAATAGATTATAATAAATTTGATAGGGTAAGTTAATAAATTAAAGAATATATTTTATAAGTTTTATTTATAAATTATAAGTCTTTAATTATAAAAGCTTAAGAATAATTAAATGAAATATAAATCAAATAATTCAAAAATATTTTTTAATATTGTTATATATCTTTTATATAATTAGAATAAAATAAATAACACAACTTAAATTACTTACTTATTATTAAATCTTTATAAATATTTTATAAATCTTTAGAAGATACAGAATTAATTAATAAATTTTAGTCTAGTATTTATCTCTTACTTTAAATATCAAAAATTCTAGATTAATTATAATATATATTAGAATATTTAGGTCTTAGGGATTTAAAATAATAAAAATAATTATTAAACTTTTTTGATTCTTTTAACAGAAAATTCTCTAATAATAATTTAAAAAATAATCTATGATTATATTAGAAGTTTAATTTATTAATAATTAAAAACAGATTTATTCTTTATCTATTAAAGTCTGAAGAACAAAAATATTTTAATTAAAAATAAAAATAAGATCATATTATTTAGAGAATATAGAAATAGATTAATTTAGTAAAAGTAATTTTTATAAATTAATAAAAAAATAAATAATAGTAAAAGAAATTACATATAGATATTCAAAAATAATAGATATATAAATATTATATATAAAATATATATATTAAATTCTAGATAATTTTTAATTTAATAATAATTCAATTTATTATAATAATATTTACTTTGGTTTTTATAAATAAATTAAAAATATAATAATAAGTACTAGAAGATAAACAGATTTATAAAATTTTAGTTAAAAATTAATGATTTTTTATAACTTTTATTATGGATTTTATATTAGTTTCTAATAATATATAAAATAATATTAATAAAGAATCTCTAGAAGTAGTTTTAGTTTATAAATTATATCATAAATAATAATTAACCAAGATGTATTAAAAACACATTAAATTATAATAATCTTATATCAATAAAATATTGATTAAAAATATATTTTTAAATTCTTTATTGATATTATTCTTTAATATTAGGAGTAGAATATATAGATATATATAAGCTTTTTATATAGATATCTAAACTAAGTAAAATAGAGTGAAATTATAATATTCTTATTTTAAATAATATAATTTATTTCTAGTAATATAAAAATAGTCTAGATCTCTAAAAGAATATGTAAATAAAAATAGAATATTTATAAAATTATATAAAATATTTTTTTTATATTCATAATATTATCATATATTAATTAATATTAATATTTATTTAGAAATAATTAATATATCTCTTAATATTTATTCTTTTAATTATATAAATTGAATTTTAATAAAGTAACTTAAACAAACTAGTATCTACATTACATTATTTTTTAAAAATCTATCTTTTAATTTTAATTATATAATAGATAAAGTAGCTATTAATTTAATTTATTTTTATATTAATTTATATAACATTTTGAATAAATTCTCAGAAGTAAAATAAAGTTTTATAATTTAGATATTCTAATTTTTAATATTATTTTAAAATTAAATTATATATTATTAGGGGCTTCTTATGAGTTTTAATTAATTAATAAAATTAAGATATTTAGAAATCCTAATTATTTCTATTTTTAGTTAAATATAAAATTTATATTTAATTTATTTAAGTCTATATATTTCTTCTCTACTAGTAATTTAAGTATAAAAACTTTTTATATAAAAATAATTTGTTAGGCCTTTCCACCTGATATAATATTTAAATAAATTTTAGAAATATAAGTAATCTTAATAAATTTATACTTCAAATCTTTTCTTTCAGATAAATAGAGTAGAAAATTATTACTTTATAATTATAAATAATTATTAAAATATTTTTTTATCTAAGCCTGATTATTCTAAACTGGGGTATTGAAAATAAATAATTTTAAATTATTATATATATAAATATCTAAAAT